TGGTCGACTTGAAACCACATGAATGACTCCAGTCATGTCTCACTTTTGTGTGTGTGTGTGTGTTTGTGTTGGGAATTTGTACACTATCAATAAATATACAGTTAATTAAAAATTTCTCAATGTTCTAATTCCCTCAATATAACTGCATATGGCTTCAAAATTCTCCGAAGAAGTGTTCAAATTTCAACATTTTCCCGGGGGGCTTACAGCGCCCCCCGGAACTCCCAGATGTTTAGGCTCGCTTCACTCGCCACCTCACCCTCTTGGGTAGTTATAATGAGGGGGGCCTCCACAAAGAGGCTGCCCATGGGCCTCCACAGGTCTAAATCCGGCACTGCTGTTACCTCACCTCCCGCTCCCCCCCTCTTCCCACTCGCTGGCTCCCTCCCTCCTTACGTTCCCAGACAAAAGTTTGGTGTTTTCTTTATGCTTTAAGGTGTTTATTTTATATAATATCTCAGACTAAAGTTAGGATAATATAATTTGCATTGCTGAAATCCTTGCAAGACGGAAAAATTTAAATATAACATCATATATTTTGTAGAGATAAAATTAATCACCTGTATCACATTACAGTAGTGATTTAAGAGTTCTAGTGTATATGTACATTATATATAGTGATTTAAGGGCAATTTAGGGGAATTTTAGGAGTGTTTCTGACTTTATGCATTTTTGGCTTTACTTTGTATATACTTTTCTGTGAGCTGGAACCAATTACCCAATATCCCATTGAAACAATGGTTTCGGTTAACGAAATTTTCGGTTAATGAACGACCTTCTGGAACGAATTGTGTTCGTTAACCGAGGGACCACTGTACTGTATATAGTATACAGTAATACCCCGATTTACGCGGTCAATTGAGCCCTCGGAGTAGCGTGTAAAACGTGAAACGCGTAAATGGAATAACATAACATATGGGATTAATTGAAATAGAGACTGGGCCGACCCCCAAACTCCACTTTTTCCGACACAATACCGGCATAATACCTACATTGTAGTAAAAATAACAAATTAATTTTATGATGGTATGCACACACAATTAATATTTAAGAGAAATACAGTCGCCAGGTTAATGTCCATTCAAATAATGGACTCAACTCCCCTCCCCCCCTTCCCACTCAACTAAAGTTAGGATAATATAATTGACATTGCTGGATTCCTTGCAAGGCCAGGAATATTTTGAACATAAACGTCATATATTTTGCACAAAAGATAAAATTTGGGCTTTGTAATCAAAATTCTTAAATTAGATCTGAAATTTGTATGTCTAATGCAAACCTTTGATGTTTATATTTAAAATAATCAAAATCTTATAAGAATTCCAGCAATATAAATTATATTCTGGCCGGGTAATATGTATGAATTTTATGAGCTAAAACTAATATCTTCAGTAAATAAACATGTTATTACTCACCCAGACACTATCTGTCAATCAAAATACCCCACCTCCCCCCCCCCCCCTCTCTTCCCATGCTGGTGATCATTTTAAATATAAACAACTTAACATTTGCATTAGAAATACAAATTTTAGATGTAATTCAAGGAGATCATGAAAATAAGCAAATATTTTATCTTTTGTGCAAAATATATGAAGTTTACATTCAAAATATTCCCTGACCTGCAAGGAATCCAGAAATGTCAATTATATTATCCTAACTTTAGTCTGAGTTATTATTTATTACTTAAAATGTAAATATACTGTTTTCTCCCAAACATTTCTCTGGGAAGGAGGGAGCTGGGGGGTAGGGAGGGAGGGACCGACCCAGCTAGGGCGGAAGTGGGGTATTTTGATTGACAGATAGTGTCAGTGAAGAATATTTTTTTTTTTATTTCCTGAAGTTATTTGTTTTTGCTCATAAAATTCATACAAATTACCCGGCCATAATATAATTTACATTGCTGGAATTCTAACAATATGATGATCATTTTGAATATAAACATCATGGATTTTGCATTAGACATACAAAGTTTAGATCTTATGTAATAATTTAGTTTACACAAAGCAAATATTTTATCTTTTGTGCAAAATACAGTTGTACCCCGCTTTACGCGGTCAATTGAACCCACAGGGTACCGCGTTAAGTGAACAACAGAACATATGGGATTAATTCCAATAGAGACTGGACCGACCCCCAAACTCCACTTTTTGACGACACACAACTATGTTGTAGTAAAAATATTATCTTAACTTTATGATGGTATGCACACACACATAATAATTAAGAGAAATATCAATAATATTAGGTTTTTTAACACTTACATTAGTAGAAAAGATGGCTGGGCACACGGGGATGGGGGGTTGGTTCCGAGGCAGAGGGCAGATAATTGGCCCTCATCTGTATCACTTGTATCAATTGTATCACTATCCACCACAGAGGCTTGCAGGGCTTCTTTGTCAAACCCCTCAAAGTCCATATAAGTCCATATCCTCACTATAATTATCACTATCACTGACTTGGGCCGGCTGTGGTGGGTGGCGGGTGATGAACTTGGTAATGTTTTGATGACTGGGCGACCTTGTGCGCATCGTGCCCGCGCCGCTTCCCGCGTATATGAGTAGATGAACTGCGTTAAGTGAAAGTTCGGTTCTGGCGAGGCACCGCGTATATGAGAAATCGCGTTAAGTGAAACCGCGTAAAGCGGGGTAATACTGTACTATATGAAGTTTACATTCAAAATATTCCCTGACCTGCAAGGAATCCAGAAATGTCAATCATATTATCCTAACTTTAGTCTGAGGTATTATTTATTAATAAAAATGTAAATATACTGTTTTCTCCCAAACATTTCTCTGGTAGGGAGGGAAGGTGGGGGGCAGAGAGGGACCGACCGACCCAGCTGGCATGGTGGGAAGAGGGGGGAGGCGAGGTTGGGTATTTTGATTGACAGATAGTGTCGGTGAAGAATATTTTTTTTTTATTAACTGTAGATATTTGTTTTAGCTCATAAAATTCATACAAATTACCCGGCCAGAATATAATTTACATTGCTTGAATTCTTACAATATGATGATCATTTTGAATATAAATATCATGGATTTTGCATTAGACATACAAATTTTAGATCTAATGTAATAATTTGGTTTACACAAAGCAAATATTTTATCTTTTGTGCAAAATATATGAAGTTTACATTCAAAATATTCCCTGGCCTGCAAGGAATCCAGAAATGTCAATTATATTATCCTAACTTTAGTCTGAGGCATTATTTATTACTATACGTTAAAATCTAGTGTTTTCACCCAAACATTTCTCAGAGAGGTAGGAGCCAGTGAGCTGGGAAGAGGGGGGTGGGGGCGTTGAGTCCATTATTTGAATGGACATTAACCTGGTGACTGTATTTCTCTTAAATATTAATTGTGTGTGCATACCATCATAAAATTAAGATGTTATTTTTACTACAACATAGGTATTGTGTCGGAAAAAGTGGAGTTTGGGGGTAGGGTCAGTCTCTAATGGAATTTATCGGGCTACTACTGTATAAAAAATGCAGAAATATTCAAGAGACCAACTTTCTTGATATTTACTCCACTGGAAACGAATGTGAACATAGAACCAATTACTGTATTGGCGGACTAGCCAATCAGCTGATGCGCACAACAAAACGTGTTTGTCGTAAGGATTTCGTTAATCAAAGTTTTATTCCTTAATCGAACTGAAAATCCTTATGGGAGGTAATTCGTTCAAGAATCCAATTCTAAAATTTGGGCTCCTTGTGATAGATTTGCCGCTCCTTCCGAGTTGCCCCCCTTTGGTGTAAAAGGTTATTGGCAGCTTTGCAATTTGCTCCGCCCTTATGGCTGCTCCCCTGAGCGTACCTCCCCACGTACTTCGTGTATGTTTATAATTTTTTTTCAGTTAAACAATGATTTGCGATATATCTAGCCTTTACAAACTGTAGGTAATTGTCTATTGTGCTCCATGTTTGGTGTTATGTGTTTCTGTTTGCTATAAAACAAAGAAATAATAGATAAGCTTCATCCGAATGCATCTTTTTTATCCTTGACTTCGACCATTCGGAATACGTACATATTTTAACATTTTTAACATCCTCGTTGAAGTGCTAATGCCTTGAAATCATTTGCATTTTTATGTTCGTAATTTTTAACATTATTATTGAGAAGAACAGGTCTAATTATAAATTGTGAACATATTAGTATGATAAATGCAGAGATAAACGAACACTTTTTATGGACCAATCGGCTACTTTTTAGCGTAGAAAGGGGGTGTGGCTTCTGGGCCTAGCTAGTGTAAAGTGATTATAGTAACATAACTTTCCCCAAAATCATTTGATGCCAAGCTCTCTGTTAAATCATTTGCACTGCTGCCTTCTTGATATCACTCCCCCTCTTTTATTGTGTATCCTTCACCTCATCCTTTCATCTATTTGGTCTTGTCCTCTCTCTACTACCACCAAACTCTTAATTTTACACTACAAATCTTTCTCACTTTCCATTCTCTTAATATGCATACCTGAGCAGACCCAGATTAATTTTTTTGGCATTTCCTTTGCTTCCTTATTTCTGCATTTCTTATCCTCTGCATCTTATTTACCCAACATATTGCTCTCAAGCACTCCTTTTTGGTCACTTCTAATTTTTTCCATCCCATTACATCTAGAGTCCTGCTTCCCACCCATGTATGGTAATCCTAAAAAATCCCCTGCACACCCATCCCCATTTTTGCCTTCTTTGACAAGGTTCTGCTTTTCCATGTCTTTCTCAGTCCACCCATTGTTTTCTCTCCTGCCATTATTCAGTGGTTTTTTCATCACACACACAGTAGTGATACATGTGTAGTTAACCATCATGCATAATATGATCCTTATTATAGAGAAACAGTTAAGATTATGAAGTGGGTTTAGAAATATCTTTTATTCACTAATTTTTTCTTCTAATATACTAACCAGCTTTGATTTTATTTATTTATTTTTTCAACAAATTCTCTTATAACTTTTTAATTTGTCTTCAAGTTTATTAAAGGTGTTTTCTTTCTTATAGGTTTGAATCAATGACAGGAGGAGGCAGTGTGGGCTCAACCTCACCACCACCTGTCCCATCTACTCGAGTGCGCCACACTTCAGCCTTCCAAACGGTACACTATTTTTATTTATAAGTCATCCTCTCTGTGGGTGGAATTACGAAGAAAATATTTTCCACATTTCTGAATGATTCAAGAGCTGGAAAAATAAGTGGATACATAACCTATCTCCACAAAATATTCATTTCAACTAATAGGCTATTTATAACCTCACATCTGTCCTAGGTGAGTCAAATATAGTCTATGAATTTAAAACTAGGAATACCCCAACATTGATGACTCGAACTTAATACATAAATTTTACCTTCCTGTTGCAAACATAATTTGTCAAGAGTTTCAGGTGCTACTGAAGGGTGAAGGTGTGACGTCATGATATCATAGTGAGTGACAGAACTATGCCTGTCAAATGTCATATCTTGAGGTTTTAATAATGATCTTGGGGACTCTTTATATTGTTCAATTCCACAAAATCACAGAGTAAACCTTACCACCACCATTTCCTTCACTCAATATTGCTGAATCTGTATTGCTAGATACTTGTTCACAAGTTCAGTATCAAGTTCTCATGTATTCCTATTCTTTCCAAATTGTTCATTTAGCATTTTAGTCCAGGGGATTTTGCCTAGTCTGAATTAGTAACTGGAGATAGGAAAGCTATGAATACAATATGCGAGATAAAAATTTGCCTCAGATTGGCAATGGTAAAGATTATCGCTGAAGATCTTTAAAAAAAATCAACAAATGGTAGAGGAGAAGGAAATCTTATACAGAAACAAAACTTTGATTATAAAAAAAATTAACAGAAGCAACACTTTGTAATTAATAATAGGCAATATAAATGAATTATAAATTCAGAAAACTAAAGACACCTTGAATTAACATTAATCACTTGATTAAGAAACAAGACAAGAAACCAGTGTGAACTTTAGACTGGTTGTGTACCTAAATTATGAGATAAATCATGCAGACCTTAGGTACATGAATATATAAACTTTTCAAGACTCGAGATATTATATGTACTTAAGTGATATGACAAATGAATCAGATGACTTTAGTTAAGAGATACAGGTTGTACCTCTCTAGTCCGGCAACCTCGGGACCTGACCGGTGCCGGACCATGGAAATTCACCCTTTTCCTGGATAGATAGTGACTTGTGCTTATGCCTGGAAGCACTAGCACCACTTTCTCTGCATCATGGTCTCTTTGAAGACATATTGAAGGGTTAAATGTCGTATAGTAGCTTCTCAAATTTCGCGAGTTTTTAATTCTTAACGTATTTTATTGGAACACACAAAAAAATAAATAAATAAAAATTTTGATGCCGGAAACTTGAATTTCGTCGGGTTTGAACGGCCCGCCAACGTGCAGACGACGTGCATAATCGTGTAAACAGCGTCATTTCTTTTATGTACAAAAGATTCATTATTGTTCATTACTGAATGTCTTTTTTATTGAATTAATGTTTATGTGTGCAAAATGAGCAATACAGTTCATTAATAATACATAGAATATTAAAACACACGAGGAAATGACACAGCATTGTTTTCGTTGATTACAAAACCAGTGACTGACTGGTTCTACATATAAAACTGAAGAAAATAAGACCTTGGTTGTAGCTGTAGTAAAATTAATATGGTTGTTTTAAGTAATGTTATTTAATGTTAATAAATGGAACAATAGAAGTAGCTAACGATAATGGTAAAGAAAAAGAGAGATCGCATATGTAAGTGCGCATGCGCACACGAGAAAACATATCATCATTACTTTACATAAGAATATGAAAGCAACACTTATTTACTGTTCATATATATTTTGATTAATGTTTCTGAATTTGTTTTTATTGAATTAATGTACGTGTGTGCAAAATTAACAATACAATTTATTAATAATACGTGGAATATTAGAGGAGACGAGACGGCTGCCGGCATTGTTTATGTTAAAGCTTACGAAACCAGTGACTGATTGGTTCTACATATAAAACTGAAGAAAATGAGACCCTGAGTTAAGCTGTAGTAAAATTAATGTAAAAAATGAATATGGTTGCTTGAAGTACCTGTAATGTTATTTAATGTTAATAAATGGAACAATATAAGTAGCTAACCATTACCGTATATCTCGGCCTACAAGACGGAATTTGAACAAAAAAAAAATCAGCCCAAAGTTAGGGGGTCGTCTTAAGCACCAGAGATAAAATTCTTACCTCTTAAATTTTGCGGTTTAGCGTGTCAAGAGTGGTGATGGAAACATGGTAAACCACTCACAAGGTCCTACCACTAATTATTTTATACTGAAACTTACATTTGGGAAGCTGGATTAAAATGAAGATTACCGGTATATTAAAATAATAAAAATGTATTATAAACCAGTCTAACATACCGTAAAAGAACAATATACCCCGGTAATAAACACAGCTGCTATCATCACCCCCCCCCCCATTTGCCAGTGACGAGAAAGGGAAAGCGACCTTGACAGTGACCGCCTGTGGCTATTTTTAGCCGTCCTTGTGTTCGGAGGTGGTCAGTACTGCATATCTGTATATTTACTGATCATAATACTTATCTCCTATAAATAATTAATTTAAAATTAATTTTTTTACAAAGAATATTCAGTAAATGACTGCGTTAATTCTTGACACTACCGACAGTGGTAAATTTAGGATGAGAATGATTAACAGAAGTCACGTCATGGATTCGGAGTTTGGTCCTTAATGATCACCTTAAATGTCTGGTCAACTTCACCTACCAGGTATAATGGTAGCCTCCCTTTTTCGCGAAACAAGTATATAAATTAAAGAAAATACTTGCAGTGTGTTTAATGTATTACAATATATTATAACTAAATAAATAAACAAATAAATCGGCAAATCTATTTCAAGTAAATGGAAATATTTTACTCACACCGACATTAGTTCCAGTTAAATAACTGACGCTTAAGTGAGTCACTAGTGTACACCAGCGGGTAAAATTTGATGCCAATACTTGAAGTGAATTGGCATTATTTTAAATAACCAACCATAAATAAATGGAAAAAAGATCAAAGGTGAAACATTATATTGTATGTATGTTGTGTTGTCAAAGGAAGAGAAACAATTGAAACTCAGCAATTGTGTGTAAATGAGGCAGTAAGATAAATCAGCAACCTAAGACTTGGTCAAAATTTTCGTGATGCCATATGGAAGTACAGTAGGGTCTACCTTTAGACAATACTGTACATTATGCTTCCAATATCTTCCCAGGCAGTAGAATCTCCCTGTTTGGTAGCTGCCTAAAACTTTTAGTAATATTACTTTGATACAACATGATAAATTTGACAAACAATGAAAATAAACAAACAAAAGTTATTTACCAAGACCTTCTCTCTCAGAACAGAGGGTAAGAGATGGAGGGGAGATAAGACGGCTATTTATAGCCCTCTTTGTGTAGGAAGTCGACCACACTAGAAATAATTCATTTAAAATTTATATTTTTTACATAGAATATTCAGTACATGACTGCAATTATAAAATATTGTGTGTATATATATATATATATATATATATATATATATATATATATATATATATATATATATATATATATATATATATATATATATATATATATATATATATATATATATATATATGTATATATATATTTGTGTAATAAATGTATGTAGTAAGTATGTACAGTAATCTTTTTCACTCAAATCCTAATGAAACACTATTGAATTAGAATACTGTAGCTCGCTGAAGCAAGCTTATAAATTAAAGAAAATACTTCCAGTGTGTTTAATATATTACAGTATGATATAAATAAACAAATAAATCGGTAAATCCATTTTAAGTAAATGAAACAATTGTATTCGACACCGACATTAGTTCAAGTTAAATAACAAACTTTTAAGTGAGTCACTAGTGTTTACACTACACCAACCGGTAAAATTTGATGCCATTACTTGAAGTGAATTGGCTTTATTTTAAAAAACCAAGGATGTGTAAACATCACTGGTCAATGGGATGGTTGGTAAAGGACTACTGGGTCAGTAAGCTCCCAATGGTAAGTGTCACATTTGGGGTACCGGTCTTATACAGCAAATAGGGCTCAAAAGCTACTTTTTAAATGGAAATTTTGGGGGCCGTCTTATACACCCTGTCGCCTTGTAGGCCGAGATATACGGTAATGGTAAAAAAAAAGTGAGACTGATCGTATGTAAGTGCGCACATGTGAAAATATATCGTCATTACTCTGCATAAGAATATGAAAGCAACATTTATTTACTGCTCATATATATTGAAGGGTTAAATGTTGTACTCTGTATAGACAAGCAGAGAGAGAGAGAGAGCAGCCGAACTGCCAGATGTAGACAAACCTTAATTTCCCGCGGATTTTTTTTTTTTTTTTTTTTTAAGGATTTGCCCACCCGGGCATAGGTCACTGACCCACATTGGGGCCTGAGGGGCAAAAATTTAATTCTCCTGTAATAATAATAATAATTCAGATAAGTAAAAAAAAAAAGAAAAACTGCCTATCTACTTATTGGACAAACTAAAATCGTTCCGGACCACGGGAGTTTCCGGACCACAGAATGCCGGACTAGAGAGGTACAACCTGTACTATACTATGCCAGTCTTAGGCTTTAGACAAGTTAGGTACTTTAGTAATAAGACAAATTATCTGGACATGATGAGATATACGATAAAATAAACCAGACTAGGCTTAATTATGAATCTTAGTTACAACACATGGCATGTAGCCACTTGAAACACATTATAACCATGGTCATCTCTTAGACAATGTTGGAACGTAGATGATGGGTCAAGATTCACTAATAATGTCTCTTCACTTAAACTTCTCAAAGACTTTAGTTAGTTTTAACTTTCTGAACAACAGCAGCAAATTTATATACAACTCAACCAAACTCACAATAAGTTATATGGCTGGAATTGACTGCTTTACACAACTAAATGTCGGTTTCAATATTGTAGTTCACAACACTTAGTACTCATGTCAGATGATACTTAGGTTATATAGCGCAGCTTTCAATGAGGGAAGAATCTCTGAGGAGAGAGATCACAGATTAGATTGAGGCCCGGCTCTTCTGTTCTGGGGTACTTATGTCCATCACACTATAAGAAACTCTGGGCAGGTTCACAGCATCAACATCTTGATTCGTTCAAAAGCGCTGGGTTGGTAAACTTACAAACTACCGTCCCTTGCCGAAAGGAGTTTTAAGGTAAGGGGAAGGAGAAGGAGCCAGACGTAAGAGGTGGAATTTAGTATATGTACCTCATGTCTGCAGCAGCCTCGTATATCTGAAATACTGTACGTGATACGTATCCAGCATAATTCTTCAAAATTTTTGACTGAAACTAAAACTGTGAATCCATTCCATCTGTACAGTGTATCAAACTCTTAAGAAACTAATAATTTTCAACTTATTCTATTTGTGGCTTAGTGTGGGCACTACAGCATATTTGGCTCTCTAGTCATGGGGTCATCCATGAATTGGGATTTCATAATCAATCCTTCTTTTGCCACTTACTTCAGTTCTCCCCTTCCTAATGAAACATAAGCTTATTGGATGCAGATGGTGGTAAATAATATCCCACATTGGACTGAAGTATGAACCAAATTAGTATGGATATTCCTGAAAACATCCACAAGAAATGATCAAAACATTTTCAAAGCAGTAAGTAGGTATGAAATACAAGTAAATTAAAGGAACCCCAAAAACATTTGATGATAGCACTGGCACAGCCTTGCTGTTTATTGAAATTTAAAACCCAGTTTAACTCTTTACAGAAAAGCTGTGGAAGTAATAGCAGTATTTCATCAAGCAGTGGTATCTTGGGTTCTTCAAACATTGAGGGAGTTGATGACAGTTCCCCACGACCCATGCGAAGAGATAGAGGACACACCATCTCTGACATGAATCCTGCTTCACGGAAACTACATTTAAGAGCAGCAGCTGCATCGAGAAAAAATAATTCTAGTAAAGATCTCAAAGGAGGCATGTCACCAAGGTATTCATTTGTGTCTATATACTCTATCTCTTTTTTCCTTCTGTTTCATTAACCTCTGACCTTTCTGTTTGCATTTATAATTTATTTTTAGTAAAAAAATTTGTGGTTTGAAACACATACAGTACATGAATACCTCGCTATTTGCAACCACGATGTTCACAACCGCACTTATTCACAAATGGTATTTTAACACCTCTATGTGATATTCACAAACCATACCCCACTTATTTGTAAAGAAAAATTGCAATACCTTACTGTAATATTTTTTATTTAAAATGTATTATCTTACTTAGTATTAAAATATATACTGTCCCTGTTTACACTGATGGCTCTTAAATCAAATGTAGGGGTGGGTTTTGGGGTAGTATTTCCTGACTTATATCAGGACAGTAGTCTCCTCATTATAGCATCTATTTTTAAGGCAAAGCTTTCAGGTATTTTACTTGCCCTCAAGATTATTTTTACCCAACCTCATAGTGAATTTGAAATTTATAGAGATTTTTGCAGTGCTCTCCTGGACTTTGCTTGTGTCACATCGCTACTTCCCTTACTTGTAGATATTTTACAGTGGCTGTTTCTTATCCAATGTCAGGGCCAGAAAGTGAGTTTTTACTGGATTCCAGCCCATGTGGGGGAGTAGGGAAATATGCATGGTGATGCTGTGGTGAAAACAGCTGCCTCTCGCCCTGTGGGATGCTATCGGAGCAAAAAGCACTGCTACATCCACCCTGCTTTGGTTGCCTGGGGATCAGAGTTGTAAAATAACGAAATAAATTTACTTCAGTACTGAACTCGAGTAACATTTTTGGGTGCAGTCAGTTCTGCTACAACGCGATAGTTGTGTTCTTGTAAAACATCGTGTTATAGAAATTCGCGCAATAGAAATAACGGCTTATGGAGAAAATAGGGTTCGGTGCAGATTACTCAAAATCGAAAAAATTTAGTAGTTAGCCTAACACAAAGGATAGCACAGTCTAAATAAATGTTACATTCATATCTAATAATGAAATCATACAGTAAATGTAACACTTTACCTTGAGAAAATATGAATATAACTTGATGGGGGAGAAGGGTGATTTTGAGGTTGATAACATCGAGCTTCTCTTCAAGTGTTATAGTCTTTCTTTTACGATCATCACCGGGAACGCGATCACCAGAACACTTCTTAGAGATATTCTTCTTTACCATATTCACAGTTAATACCACAAAATTGGAGAAATAGTAAGCAAAAATCGCGTTACAGCAAACAAGCGTTCGTGTTTTACAAATATCGTTCCTCTATTCATAAATCGCATTAGAGCCAATTCGTGTTGTCAAAACACACGTTAAAACAGAACTCACTGTATTTACTTTTTAAAAATTACTCAAATTTTTTTTGTACTTTTTTTAAGTACCGTATATCACGGCCTATAAGACGAAATTTGAACATTAAAAAAATCTGCCCAAAGTTAGGGGGTCGTCTAAACCACCAAGTTTAAAATTCTTACCTCTTAAATATTGTGGTTTAGTGTGTCAAGAGTGGTGATGAAAACATCGTAAGCCACTCACAAGGTCTTACCACTAATTATTTTATACTGAAACTTACGTTTGGCAAGCTGGATTCAAATTAAGATTACCGGTATATTAAAATAATAAAAATGTATTATAAACCTGTCTAACATACCGTAAAAGAGATTTATACCCCTGTAATAAACACAGCTATCATCACACACCCCTCCCCACGCCCCCCCCATTTGCCAGTGAGGAGACAAGAAAGGAAAAGTGCATTAATTCTTGAAACTATCGACGGTTAATTACAGACGCTCAAGTGACGTCACTAGTGTTTACACTACACCAGCTGGTAATATTTGATGCCATTACTTGAAGTGAATTGGCCTTATTTTAAGTAACTAACTATAAATAAATACAAAAATTAAAAAAAAAGATCAAAACTGAGAAATAATATACTGTATGTATGTTGTGTTGTCAAAGTAAGAGGAACAATTGTGTAAGTACGTAATATTTTTTCACTCAAATCCTAATGAAACACTACTGGAGAACATTCCTTTGTCGCAAAACAGTTTATAAATTAAAGAAAATAATTACAGTGTGTTTAATATATTACAGTATATTATAAATAAATAAATAAAACAAATAATTCGGTAAATCTATTTAAAGTAAATGGAAAATAAGCAAACATGTTATTTACCAAGACCCTTCCGTCTGGCTCAGGGTGAGATGGAGGGGAGATAAAGAAGGCTATTTATAGCCCATCAGAAGTGGCCAGTACCCTAATGCACCATAAATAATTCATTGAACATTCATTTTTTGTACATAGTATATTCAGTATATATATATATATATATATATATATATATATATATATATATATATATATATATTTGTGTAATAAATGTATGTAGTAAGTACATACTGGTAACCTTTTTCACTCAAATCCTAATGAAACATCACAATTAGAATACGGTGGTTGCTGTTGAACCACATGTTGTATAAATAGTCACACCACCGAGACGAGGGAACACTCCCACCACGCTTCAGTGACGTCACTAGTGTTTACACTACACCAGCGGGTATAATTTGATGACATTACTTGAAGTGAATTGGCCTTATTTTAAAAAATCAAGGATGGTTGGTAAAGGACTACTGAGTCAGTGGGTAAGTGTCACATTTGGGGTACTGGTCTTATACAGCAAATAGAGCTCAAAAGCTACTTTTTAAATGGAAATTTGGGGGGGGGCGTCTTATGCACCCCGCCGCCTTATAGGCCGTGATATACGGTATGGATTTCTAATACTTTTACTCCAATACAATTGAAAAACAAAAAAAATTTCTTGTTACATGCAAACTAAAATAATACAAGTCCACCACCGATTTTCTGGCACCCTTGATTCCAAAACCTTGATGGATTCTCCGTTTGCCGGACCAACCTAGGTCAGGTACAGTGGGGTATGCTATAACAAATCTAATTGGTTCTAGAACCTCATTCGTTATAGGATTAATCCGTTCCAGGCCCCCAAATACAACCACTTAACACTGAAAAAATTATGTGGAAAATGTAAAAAATACGGTACTTTATCTTACCTTAGTGTTGTTCAGCATGCAGGACAGGAGGCAGAGGGGAAGGGGGGGGAGAGAATTATGGAGAAGAGGTGGAAGGAGAGGAGTCATCCTTCCTAGCCCTCTTTGGTGACTGTCTCACAGGCACTTTGTCTGTAGGTTCTATTGTTACCTTTTTAAAGAAGGAATCCAGGGTTGGCTGCTTCAACCTTGATTTCTGGACCTTCCAAAAGCAGTTCATAACATTGTCATTAAACACACAGATGGCCTTTTGCACAGAACCAACATCAGGATGATAATCCTCAGCAAGTTTGGACAGTTTGTTCCAGCAAAAGAACGCATCCTTGAGATCTTTGGCTGGAATGATGCGGCTTTCCTCCTTGTCCTCATCCTCCCCTGACTCCTCAGAAGTTAAGCTCCGCTTCAGTGTCTCGTTTTGTTCTTTGTGAAGCTCAAGCAGCTCCTCAGTGGACAGTTCCTTACTGTGCTCTTCCACCAACTCCTCAACATCATCATCATCCACTTCCAGGCCCATGGAATTGCCCAGAGACACAATTTCATGAACAACAGCCTCTTCTTCTAACTCTTCGAAGCCTTCAAAGTCTCTTTGAAGCACACATTCAGGCCACAATGGCCTCCAAGCAGCACAAAGACACCTCACAGTAACCTCTTTCCAGGCTGAGGTAATTAAAAAAACAGCATCTGCTATATTGAAGTGACTCTTCAGAATTCCTTCAAACTAACATCACTGGAAGAAGTGGACACAAAACATTTTCTAAACAGTGCCTTTGTGTACAGCTTCATAAAGTTAGAAATTACCTGTTGATCCATGGGCTGGATGAGAGGTGTTGTGTTGGGTGGCAAGAAGTGCACAGTGATGAAGTTGAACTCCTCTGGCAATTCAACCATCAAATTAGGAGGGTGGGCTGGTGCATTGTCCATCACCAACAAAGCTTTCAGTGGAAGATTATTCTCCCTGAGGTATTCCCGAACACTGGGTCCAAACACCTCAATCACCCACTCAGAGAATAAATTCCTGGTCACCCAAGCCTTTGGGTTTTACCGCCATATAACACCAAGGCGGGTCTTCCTAATGTTTTTGAAAGCTCTGGGGTTTTCTGCATGGTACACAAGGAGTGGCTTTATTTTGCAGTCACCAGAAGCATCAGCACAAAGAAGGAGGGTAAGCCTGTCTTTCATTGGCTTATGGCCAGGGACAGAACTTTCCTCCTTGGTAATGTATGTACGGCGAGGCATTTTTTTCCAAAAAAGTCCAGTTTCATCACAGTTGAATACCTGCTGAGAAACAAAGCCTCCCTCTTTAGTCACATTCAAAAAAATGTCATGGTGTTCCTTAGCTGCTTCCTTATCTGTACTAGCAGCATCACCATGTCTCACAACACTATGTAATTTATTTCTCCTTCTGAAACCAGTAAACCACCGCTTGGTACCCCTAAACACTGGCACATCACTATCACTTGCACTGGGAGTCTTGGCTTTAAGGTCCTCAAACAATTGTCTGGCCTTCTCACAAATTATAGCTTCACTAATGCTATCACCTGCCATTTCTTTCTCCTTTATCCACACTAAGAGTAAATTTTCCGTCTCCTCAATCACATTATACCTTGCTTTGCTAAGTTTAGAGATTCCCTTAGCCACTTGCACAGTTTTCAACTCCTCTTTATTCTTTAAAATCGTACATATAGTCGATTTAGCCATCCCATACTCATCACTAAGTTTCGCAATGCTTGTTCCATCCTCACGTTTCTTTATGATTTCTTTCTTAGTTTCAAGAGTTATGAGTTTTCTCACTCGCTTTGGACGATTCATTGTTACAATTGTACACTTGTATAACAAAATATTTATACAAATAACTCTATTTCCACATCAAAAGACGAAATTTCAACAATAACAGTGGTGCACTGGCTACACAATGAGACAAAGATGGCGCCTGACGCTCTTGTTGTGGGTCGCGGTACAACAATATTAATGCGCCAGGCGAAATAGTCCCATATTCTTCCGCGTTCGTTGTAGGAGTTGCGTTCGTTATAGCATTCTCAATTTTATAGGTAAAACCATTCATTATAGGAATATTCGTAGTAGGATCCGTTCGTTATAGCATACCCCACTGTAATAATTATTCAACAATACATCTCTGACCCACTAATGATACATCCCCGTGTGTCTAAAGCACCATGGAATGCTAGAAACATGATTAAACAAATATTAGATATAAATTAAATGTGAAAAAGCCATAATTTTGAGCAACATTATTGTATTACACACTTTATACTCAAATGTACTACATTAGACTAAATATTTTATCTCGTGCAAACTATGTTTATGATCATATTAATCACTATCTTACAAGGATACCAGCAATGCAATTTATATACTGCTAAGTCTAGTCAGCTACATTTTATAAGATAAAAACTTTAAGCCTAAAACTACCTTCACCGTGGCTAGGATGGAGGGAAGTTAAGTGCCCTCTCATAATTTTTTCCAGACTAAAGGAGGTGTTGGACCATCAGTTCCCGGAAAATCGGTGGTGTACCTGTATAGTTTTTAATTAATTAATTAATTAGTAACCATAATAAAAAAATTGTGTTGGTGGAGAGTATGGTGTGGGTAGAGTCGTAAAGGGTACGGTGTGTATATGGGGAGACACCACACGGTCACAGACCTAAAGGTCTTGTGAGGTGAGGTAACGTCAGGTCGTGTTATTTTTACCAGGTATTCAGTGTACTGCTGTATTAATCATTATTAGTTCCAGCCTCTAATGTCAAGATTTGATGTGTGTATATCTAGTGACTGTACTCAAGTTGCCTATTATGGGAATTGTTCATAAAATGAGACTTTGGGATGATTTCTTCATTTGTGGCTGAAGTAATTGTCATCTTTCACTGTCAGTAACTAAGTGACTCCTAAAAATGAAATTAATCTTATGTAATGCACTCAATTTGATGATTATACCCATCTAATTATGATTTTTTTCTTCAGCTTTGTGTTCCTTCAGCTCTATTATCAGGGAAGCCTGGGTGGAGGTAAAGAGCGGCCACTCCTGCTTCCCACCCATCAACCTGAAATGCAGAGGGCAATGAGAGTGTTGGACTTTATGCGGCCTCAAGAAACTCACAAAATAGGTGTATTGTACGTGGGTCGAAAACAGACTACAGAACAAGAGATCCTAAGGAATTCTTTTGGTTCTCTGAGATATATGCTCTTCCTTCAGGTCAGTGAATGGTTTATGTGTAATTCCCGTATTACATTTACAAAGCAAGTCTGAGTAATTCATTAATTTCCATGAATATTTTTTTTTTCAGCAATTCTCTTCTATTTACAATAGTAAAAGCTGACATAATTATATAAAAATAATACAGGTACTCCATATATTGTGTTAATATAAGTTGAACCTCTCTAATCCGGCAACCTTAGGACCTGAGCAAGGCTAGATCATACAGTTTTCCATTGGCTTACAGTATCAAAACAATGCAGTCTCATGCGCTTTATACTGTATACTATAAACAGCGGTCAGTTTTTCAACCTTATCTAATTTAGCAAAATCGTCCACATAATTCATAAATATATCTCAATTGCCCAAAAATATCCAGACCTCAATATACCAACATTACCCACCTAGTCAGGATTTGAACCCAGAATCTTTGCGTGGGAACAGGGAGTGTTACCACGGCACCACAATGACAACAAAAGCCAAATTAGGCTTTGTACATGTATCCTCGATAATCACAGGACCCGATAATCGCTGATCTGGCTTATCACCGTATCCTCAATTGTGACCATGTGTTTGCTTATCACTTATTAATCTGGGTTATTACGGAATTATTATGGGACAGCGGGCAAGAACCAGCAGACAGGCCAGGAATCCAATGCTCTGTTCATTCATATGAGAGATAATAAGCATTGCATTAACTGGGATAATGCCTCCTCAGTATTACCTTGAAATTCAATTGTCAGTAGGAACATTATAGAATCCAGTCTCATTAAACATACCGAATTTGTCAACATGAATTTAAGTAATGGTTTGTACAAACTGGATAATTTTGTAATTAAGAAGATTTGTAACCAGGTGAGAAGGTTGGGTCATCTTACCCTATGACCTGACTGCGGACAGCTGCTGTGCATGGTTAACTTTTTTTTTTTTTTTTTTTTTTTTAAGAAGATTAGTAAGGGTCACTGCCTTATGACCGAAACATTGTGGACACCTGCTGTCCCCTAGGGACTTGATCTCACTCTCCTCTACTGTATATATTAGCCTTGTCAAGTATTTCTCCTTAGTCTGTACTCACCCCTGAGGATGTGAATTACACGAAAGTGCTTGGGAACTTCGTGTTTTCTTGTTTCCTTGTGGTTATGAACAGTAAATAAGTGTTGCTTTCATATTCTTATGTAAAGTAATGACGATATGTTTTCACGTGTGCGCATGCGCACTTACATATGCGATCTCTCTTTTTCTTTACCATTATCGTTAGCTACTTCTATTGTTCCATTTATTAACATTAAATAACATTACTTAAAACAACCATATTAATTTTACTACAGCTACAACCAAGGTCTTATTTTCTTCAGTTTTATATGTAGAACCAGTCATTCACTGGTTTTGTAATCAACGAAAACAATGCTGTGTCATTTCCTCGTGTGTTTTAATATTCTACGTATTATTAATGAATTGTATTGCTCATTTTGCACACATAAACATTAGTTCAATAAAAAAGACATTCAGTAATAAACAATAATGAATCTTTTGTACATAAGAGAAATGACGCTGTTTACACGATTATGCACGTCGTCTGCACGTTGGCGGGCCGTTCAAACCCGTCAAAATTCAAGTTTCCGCCGTCAAAATTTTTATTTATTTATTTTTTCGTGTGTTCCAATAAAATACGTTAAGAATTAAAAACTCGCGAAATTTGAGAAGCTACTATACGACATTTAACCCTTCAATATGTCTTCAAAGAGACCATGATGCAGAGAAAGTGGTGCTAGTGCTTCCAGGCATAAGCACAAGTCACTATCTATCCAGGAAAAGGGTGAATTTCCATGGTCCGGCAATTTCCATGGTCCGGCACCGGTCAGGTCCCGAGGTTGCTGGACTAGAGAGGTACAACCTGTGTATATATATATATATATATATATATATATATATATATATATATATATATATATATATATATATATATATATATATATATATATATATATATATATATATATATATATATGTATGTATGTATGTACACAGTATTACCCCGCCTAACGCGGTTTCACTTAACGCTTTTTTTCATATACGCGGTGCCTCGCCAGAAGCGAACTTTCACTTAACACGGATTTTTTCCACATATACGCGGTGAGTGTCCGGCTCGAGAGCTATTTTTAGATTTGCCCATGCGCCACCCGCCCGCCTGCCTGCCTGTGCTCTCGCCTCTCCCTCCTCCTCCCTCCGCTTGGGCAAGCGGCGCGGTAAGGTTGCGCAGTGTGTGTCTTTGTTGCGTTATCACTGACGTCATATGACGTATCGGACTGTGATTGGCCATGCATCCCTACCCCCCTCTGCTGCTAGCTGTAATTGGCTTAAAGTATTATGACGTGACCACCCGGGGGAGGGAGGGAGGAGGAGACGACGCTTGACCTAGCCGCGGCAGTTTCATCCCTCAAGGCCACACCGTGTAAACGCGCATCCATTGTTCCGTAAAATGGCTTCCGCCGGACCACCACCGCCACCAGAGAGAGACCTTTCCTTACCTGGACCCAGCGGCACTAAGCCAAAGAAGACACGACGTTCCTTAAGCTACGAGGTGAAGTACCAAATTGTTCAAGATTTGGAGAAAGGAACACGGCAAATTGGTCTCGCGCGCCAGCATGGCGTTAACGAATCTACGATTCGCACGATTAAGAAGGATGCAGCCAAGATCAAAGAGCACATGAAAATCACAAAGTCTGCAGGTGCTTCATCTGTCAGGTATTGCCAGAACAGGGTGCTGGCCAAAGTGGAAAATTTGCTGGTGAATTATTTGATTCGTCAGGCGCGACGCAACATGGCGGTGGACACGCGCTCAGTGCAGGAGTACGCACGTGAGCTATACGCAGCAGTGTCACGTAAGCTGGGAATTGCAGAGCCCAAACCCTTCAATGCTTCCTCTCGTTGGCTGCATAGGTTTAAGAAGAGGAATAAGATCACCAACATCAACATTGGTGGTGAGGAAGCGAGTGCTGACCGTGTGGCGGCTAGAGATTTTCCTCCGTTCTTACGTGAGATTATGGAGGAAGGACAGTACACTGACGACCAGGTGTTTAACATGGACGAATCTGGTCTTTTCTGGAAAAAGCTACCTTCCAAGACCTTCGTTGTCCAGTCTGCCAGCAAGGTAAGGGGTCGGAAGTTGCAGAAGAAACGCATCACCGTCCTGTTTACCACCAATGCCTCCGGTACATGTAAACCAAAGTTATCGGTGATTCACACAGCCCACAAGCCGCACGCCTACAAGAATATGGACATGAACAAGCTTAATGTCCACTGGCTAACCGCATGTAAGGCGTGGATGTCCTCTTCTCTGTCCCTCTTCTGGTTTGACAACTGTTTTGTTCCTGACGTGAAGAAATTCTGCGAGCAACAGAATGTTTCATTCAATATTTTGTTGCTCCTTGACAACGCACCTGGACACTCGCCCCTACTTATGGATCGTCACCCCAACGTAAAAGTGGTCTTCCTTCCTCCCAACACTACGTCATTAATCCAGCCCATGGACCTGGAGTTGATTTGCAATGTGAAAGCTGCGTACTCTGCAAAGAAGTTCAAGCTCCTGAACGACTCTACCAACACCAAGGATGAGTTGCGTATGCTGGGTGACACCGACAGCGAGAGCAAAAGCGACGAGGACAAGGAACAAGAGGTGGCGGCTCAAGAACTTCTCGTCAAACAATTTTGGAAGAAGTTTAACGTTAAACAAGCTGTAGACTTCTTGGTGGAGGCATGGGATCTGCTGACTATTGCTACAATTCGTCACGCATGGAGACATGTGTTGCATGGCATACCAGGTGAGAGGAGGAGTGAACCTGTGACTGGTGAGGTTCAGACTGTTGCAGTAGCAGTGCACCTTGCCAGAGAAGCTGCGCTCAATATTACTGCTGAAGGCATCTCCGAGACCACCAACGAAGACATCCTGGAGGTGATCAGAGATCCTGAAGTGACTGCCGACGAGTTGTTGGAAGAAGAACACGTCAGTGAAGAGGAGGAAGAAGGTGCGTCATTCTCCGAAGAACACAGTTTAAGTCACAGTGATATTAAGTGTGCCATAGAGTTTGCAGAGAAAATGAAGTCCGTCCTTTTCCGCGACAATGACGATGACCGCTATGAAGTCTTCCATACCCGGCTGGTGCAGGCTATGGAGCCGTACATCACGGTGTACCAAGACAACATAAACACCAGCCGTCAAAAAAACATAACCGAGTTCTTCGCCCGCAACCCACCACAGCCAGCCCAAGCCAGTGATAGTGACAGTGAAGTTGTCTTTGAGGGATTTGTCAGGGAAGCCCTGACAACTGTAAGTGACAGTGATGGTGATTCACCTAGTAATGGTGATTCACCTGAGGGCCAGTAATCTGCCCTCTGCCTCGGAACCAGCCTCCATCCCCGTATGCCGACCCATCTCTTCTACTACCGTAAGTGTTCCACCTAACTTTTAGTTTCTCTAACCTAACCCTTATTTTTCCTATGTTAACCTTTATTTTTCCTAACCTAACCTCTTCTATATTACTTGTTTTTTCATACCATCATAAAGTTAAGATAAAATTTTTACTACAACATAGTTATGTGTCGTCAAAAAGTGGAGTTTGGGGGTCGGGCTGGTTTCTATTGGAATTAATCCCATATGTTCTGTTGTTCACTTAACGCGGATTTCACTTAACACGGTACCCTCTGGGTTTTATTGACCGCGTTAAGTGGGGTACAACTGTATACAGCGGGGTATGCTATAACGAACGGATCCTACTACGAATATTCCTATAACGAACGGTTTTACTTATAAAATTGAGAATGCTATAACGAACGCAACTCCTACAACGAACGCGGAAGAATATGGGACTATTTCGCCTGGCGCATTAATATTGTTGTACCGCGACCCACAACAAGAGCGTCAGGCGCCATCTTTGTCTCATTGTGTAGCCAGTGCACCACTGTTATTGTTGAAATTTCATCTTTTGATGTGGAAATTCGCGTTATTTGTATAACTATTTTGTTATACAAGTATACAATTGTAACAATGAGTCGTCCAAAGCGAGTGAGAAAGCTACTAACCCTTGAAACTAAGAAAGAAATTATAAAGAAACGTGAGAATGGAAGAAGCATTGCGAAACTTAGTGATGAGTATGGGATGGCTAAATCGACTATATGTACGATTTTGAAGAATAAAGAGGAGTTAAAAACTGTGCAAGTGGCTAAGGGAATCTTTAGACTTAGCAAAGCAAAGTGTAATGTGATTGAAGAGATGGAAAATTTACTCTTAGTGTGGATAAAGGAGAAAGAAATGGCAGGTGGTAACATTAGTGAAGCTATAATGTGTGAGAAGGCCAGACAATTGTTTGAGGACCTTAAAGCCAAGACTCCCAGTGGAAGTGATAGTGATGTGCCAGTGTTTAGGGGTACCTGCATGCTGAATAACACTAAGGTAAGATAAAGTACCGTATTTTTTAGATTTTCCACAGAATTTTTTCAGTGTTAGGTGGTTGTATTTGGGGGCCTGGAACGGATTAATCCTATAACGAACGAATGCTATAACGAACGAGGTTCTGGAACCAATTACGTTCGTTATAGCATACCCCACTGTATATATATATATATAATATATAATATATAATATATATATAATATATATATATAATATATATATAATATATATATATAATATATATATATAATATATATATATATAATATATATATATATATAATATATATATATATAATATATATATATAATATATATATATATATATATATATATATATATATATATATATATATATATATATATATATATATATATATATATATATATATATATATATATATATATATATATATATACATACAGTATATATATACACATACATATATATACATATATATACATATACATATATATACATGTAGCCTACATATATATACATGTACATATATATACATGTACATATATATACATATACATATATATACATATACATATATATACATATATATACATATATATACATATACATACATATACATATATATATACAGTTGTACCCCACTTAACCCGGTCAATAGAACCCAGAGGGTCCCGTGTTAAGTGAAATCCGCGTTAAGTGAACAACAGAACATATGGGATTAATTCCAATAGAAACCGGCCCGACCCCCAAACTCCACTTTTTGAAGGCACATACCTATGTTGTAGTAAAAATAACATCTTAATTTTATGATGGTACATGCACACAATTAATACTTAAGAGAAATAGAGAAATACAGTCGCCAAGTTAATGTCTATTCAAATAATGGACTCAACTCACTCCCCCTCTCACACTACACTGCCGGCTCTTCCCTCTCAGAGAAATTTTGGGGGGAAAACCACTAAATTTTAATAAATAATACCTCAAACTAAAGTTAGGATAATACAATTGACATTGCTGGATTCCTTGTAAGACCAGGAATATTTTGAATATAAATGTCATATATTTTGCACAAAAGATAACATAGTTACCTAGAGAAAATTTTTTATCTAAAATTTGTATGTTTAATGCAAAATATATGATGTTTATATTCAAAATGATCACCAAATTATAAGAATTCCAGCAATGTAAATTTTATTCTGACCGGGTAATTTGTATGAATTTTATGAGCTAAAACAAATATCTTCAGTTAATAAAAAAAAAAATAATCTTCACGACACTATCTGTCAATCAAAGTACCCCACCTTGCCTCCCCCCCTCTTCCAACCCCGCGGTCAGTCCCAACCCTCCCCCCCACCCCCACCAATCCTCCCTTCAAGAGATGTGGGGTGAAAAAAATAAATTTTAACATTTTGTATTAAACAATACCTCAGATTAAAGTTAGGATAATATAATTGACATTGCTGGATTCCTTGTAAGACCAGGAATATTTTGAATATAAATGTCATATATTTTGCACAAAAGATAACATAGTTAATTTGAGAAAAAATTTTATCTAAAATTTGTACGTATGTCTAATGCAAAAATATGATGTTTATATTCAAAATGATCATCAAATTATAAGAATTCCAGCAATGTAAATTATATTCAGACCGGGTAATTTGTATGAATTTTATGAGCTAAAACAAATATCTTCAGTTAATAAAAAAAAACAATAATTCTTCACTGGGTAACAGATGGTCGGTCGGTCCCTCCCTCCCCCCCCACCCCCCACCAACCGTCCCAAGGAGATGTGTGGGATAACCACTAAATTTTAATAAATAATACCTCAAACTAAAGTTAGGATAATATAATTGACATTGCTGGATTCCTTGTAAGACCAGGAATATTTTGAATATAAATGTCATATATTTTGCACAAAAGATAACATAGTTACTCTGAGAAAATTTTTTATCTAAAATTTGTATGTCTAATGCAAAATATATGATGTATATATTCAAAATGATCACCAAATTATAAGAATTCCAGCAATGTAAATTATATTCTGGCCGGGTAATTTGTATGACTTTTATGAGCTAAAACAGACAGTCAGGCAGGGTGGCGGGTGGGGCAAATCTAAAAATAGCGTCTCGAGCCGGACACTCACCGCGTATATGTGGAAAAAATCCGTGTTAAGTGAAAGTTCAGCTCTGGCGAGGCACCGCGTATATGATAAAACGCGTTAAGTGAAACCTGCTAGGGCGGGTAATACTTGTATATATATATATATATATATATATATATATATATATATATATATATATATATATATATATATATATATATATATATATATATATATATATATATATATATATTATACCGGGTAGTATGTATATAATTTATTTTTTTTATTTTTTTATTTTTTTCTCAATGTGTTTGGTTGGTAGTTATGCTACAGTATTAGTTGAATGTGTGCATTATTATTATCTACCTGATTGTTTCTGTATTCTTATACCAACCAGTTTGAATAGGAAACCAAAATAGAAATACTCACACACACATACACACACACACATAGTAATTTCAGTGCATTTTATTGTCTTTTCAGGGTTTGGGTTCTGTACTTGAACTGAGCTCTGTATTGCAAGATGAGGTGTTTCTTGGTGGCCTTGACACAAAAGGCAATGATGGCAAGCTAGTTTACATTTGGCATGATGATGTAATGCAGGTTTGTTTCTCTCATTTTGCAATGTTTAGATTCTGTAACTTTGACAGTTATAACATTTAACCCATTAGGGTCTCAAGAGAGAGAGAGAGAGAGAGAGAGAGAGAGAGAGAGAGAGAGAGAGAGAGAGAGAGAGAGAGAGAGAGAGAGAGAGAGAGAGAGAGAGAGAGAGAGAGAGAGAGAGAGAGAGAGAGAGAGAGAGAGAGAGAGAGAGAGAGAGAGAGAGAGAGAGAGAGAGAGAGAGAGAGAGAGAGAGAGAGAGAGAGAGAGAGAGAGAGAGAGAGAGAGAGAGAGAGAGAGAGAGAGAGAGAGAGAGAGAGAGAGAGAGAGAGAGAGAGAGAGAGAGAGAGAGAGAGAGAGAGAGAGAGAGAGAGAGAGAGAGAGAGAGAGAGAGAGAGAGAGAGAGAGAGAGAGAGAGAGAGAGAGAGAGAGAGAGAGAGAGAGAGAGAGAGAGAGAGAGAGAGAGAGAGAGAGAGAGAGAGAGAGAGAGAGAGAGAGAGAGAGAGAGAGAGAGAGAGAGAGAGAGAGAGAGAGAGAGAGAGAGAGAGAGAGAGAGAGAGAGAGAGAGAGAGAGAGAGAGAGAGAGAGAGAGAGAGAGAGAGAGAGAGAGAGAGAGAGAGAGAGAGAGAGAGAGAGAGAGAGAGAGAGAGAGAGAGAGAGAGAGAGAGAGAGAGAGAGAGAGAGAGAGAGAGAGAGAGAGAGAGAGAGAGAGAGAGAGAGAGAGAGAGAGAGAGAGAGAGAGAGAGAGAGAGAGAGAGAGAGAGAGAGAGAGAGAGAGAGAGAGAGAGAGAGAGAGAGAGAGAGAGAGAGAGAGAGAGAGAGAGAGAGAGAGAGAGAGAGAGAGAGAGAGAGAGAGAGAGAGAGAGAGAGAGAGAGAGAGAGAGAGAGAGAGAGAGAGAGAGAGAGAGAGAGAGAGAGAGAGAGAGAGAGAGATTACCACTCAGAAAAAGAGGTAAGAACACACATAAATAGAGTAAGCTCAATCCTCAACCTTTTCACAATTGAGAAAAAAAAATCTGGCTAGGCCTTGTGAGCTATCAGAGTGTCTTAGATTAATACTAGTGCCATATCAGAGCAATTTCACCTTCTCAGATTTTCCAACTGTTATTGAGATTAAAGAATTTATCAGGTATATGATGTTTGGTGTAAGTCCCTCTTACGCATGGTTATTCAAGTTTTCTACTGTGAAAGAAAAAAAGAGGAGCAGTTGAAAAATAGAAAGAAGTATGTCTCAAGTTTTTAAGAGAACAGGCAGTTGTTCTGAAGGGAACTGAATAGAATGAGAAAATCATAGAAACAATCACTATTACAGTTAAGAATGAAGAGTGGATATACTGTATTACAGAAGAAAAAATGTATATATAAAATTAGAGGGAGATATGAAGAATTCTTTGAGCAACTGCTATGTTATGAGATGTGGTGAAAGAAAAGTGTCATACTCATCATCATCATCATCATCGTTAACATCTTACAACCATTTTTCACCCTTGCGTGGGTTAGAAGTGATTACCTGATGACATCTGTCCATGTTGAGGGATCTCTTGCATCCTCTTTCATCAGTTTCTTAAGTCTAACATCATTTTTTACAACCTTTCTCCATGTCATTCTTGGCCTTCTAGCTCTCCTCTCGCCACATTTAGACTTGTTCATTTATTGACCCAATTGGTCTGCTCCATTCTCTCTACATGCCCAAACCATCTTAGCCTACCTCTATACAAAATATTGCCAATACTTTCAATACATAGTCATATTGCACAAACACCTCACCATTTTCATTTTAACTCACTCCAGCCTTCCTATGTCATTCTCTTTAACCACCCGTATTTTACTGCCATACAACTTAACAATATCATTCTTCTCACACCAATTCCAAGCATTTTTCCTTTCAAGAAGAAGGAAGGATCTCTTGCCATCAATAAAGGCAGCATCTTCCTAAATTTCCCCCAGCCATTTCTGGCTCTTGCAATTGAGCTAGCTTCAGCACTGCCTCCAATATTGATCATGTCACCTAGGTACTAAAAACTCAGGAACACAGTCCAGGGATATATCCCCAGTGTTAAATTTCTCCAGCCTTGTTAAGGACACAGATTACCTGTTCGTACTGGACTTTTAAACTCAGTAACATCCTGCAGTGTGCCATCTACTCCACTAGACCCCTTGTGTACCCACCTTCCACATTATTGAGTTGCTGCCAATACCTTTCTTACAGACAGCACATGGCCATATTCACTCTCAAGCCTTCGACTCCTTTCCTTTCTTCCACTTTTAAATTTTTCTACTGCCACTTCAATAATATCTGCTGTTAGCACAAAGCCATCAGCATGCAAATACTCCCAGGGCAAACCACCTGAAGTCACGTGATATTGCCTCAAGGATCATGATAGACGGTAGGGGGCGTAAGATAGACCACTGATGAGAACCCCTATTTTCACCTCAGATTCCTCACTATCCTCACCATTTAATCTCTCAGCAGTTTTTGAGTCTTCAGATAATGCCATAACCACTTGAACAAGATATTCTTCGGTCAACTTACAGTTGAGGACATAATTAGATATAGGGTATTTCTTTGTGTTTAATGATAATTTCAGACAAAAACAAGATGATTTTCTTCTATGACACTCTTGGCGCATTTTACCGAGACATCGGTTATATGTGTAGTATCTTACATGATTTAATGGGAGAATGAGAAGCCACATGTTCAGTCTTACTCAGAGCGTTTATTCGTTGTTGTTGTGTACCACGTGCCTAACACATTTGTGACTACACAGGCCTAAACACATTCTAACTTTGGTAAGAAGTAACATAATATATAATGCATATATAATAATCAATAAAGGCAGCATATAAACATACAGTGGTCCCTCGGTTAACGAACAAACATTCGATTCACGAAGTCCTTACAAAAATCACGTTTTGTTGTGAGCATCAACTGATCAGTTGATGGGGTACTCTGCCAATTCAGTAATCTGTTCTATGTTTACATTCGTTTCCAATGGAGTAAATATCAATAAAGTTGTGCTCTTTAATGTTTTTGCATGTTTTATATTAAAATTATTTGTCATTTTAACATTTATTTAACATATTGATAATATATGCAGTACAGGGACTAGTTTGTTGTGTGCCCATCAGATGCGTGAGTCGGTCACAAGGCGTCAGTTGAATTTTGATAACAGTGGAGAGAGCATCTATTTTGTTGGTGTCTTGAATATTTTTGCATTTTTCATTGAAATTATTGGTCATTCTGAACTTTAGTTAAAATATTGATAATATATAGTGCAGTGCAGTGTTGATTTAAAGAAAATGATCTTGAATTACACCTAGTGAACTTAAAATTTTATTGGTGAAACTATTGTGTCAAGCATGGGTCCCTTGAAAGGTGATTTCTCCTCCATCCCCACTTCCTTCTCTTCTCCCTTCTCCTCCACCCCCACTTCTAATTCCCACCATCATCATCAACCAGGAACCTTCTACATACACACCTCAAAGTAAGTGTACTTTACTGCATTTTTTTTTACTTTGTATGTACTTTTCGGTGAGCTGGAACCAATTACCCAATATCCCATTGAAACAATGGATTCAGTTAACGAAATTTTCGGTTAACGAAGGACCTTCTGGAACGAATTGTGTTCGTTAACCGAGGGACCACTGTACGCATATATAACAATATGGTCCAACTGTATCACAAATTTTTTACCCCAACTGTACAATACAGTACAGTATAGAAATTATATTGGGTAAATGGAAAATTGTTAAATAAAGGATAAAAAATTAGGGTAACATCACTGTCCAGCTGACAGAAATAATTACCTTCTTAATTATCAAGCATTACCTTAGCTGTATTTTCGAATGTCAAGCATACCAATTCACCAGCTAAGCAAACACATTTAAAATTTAACCTAATCTACTCAAGACAGATTCATCCCTGTGATCATTGAACTTACTGGTTTTTGAGGCAGTCACAGGAATGGATCTCAAGCACATTTCAGAAGCCATAGTTTGGATGGGAAAGTGGTTGTTTAACATCTTGTATTCAGTGCCACCTCTGACCTGAATAAAAGTGGCATCCCCATAGCGAAGGGGTTAATAAAACAATTACATTATCTGACAGGATATTGGCCTGCTTATTGAATTTATTTAGTTTGCTCGAGTCTCACAGGTAATTTATATCACTCTCAGCCATAAAATAGAATTTTATAATTTTGTTTATGTTGCTTTTAATACTGTATGTACCCTACTGAGAACTACAACCCCCAGCTTAGTTTTTCTGTCATTTCTAGCAGTTCATATCCAGTAGTCTAATGCATATAGATATGAAATAACCTAAACAAAAGGAAGATATTTCACAAAAATAGCTTTGGAACACTAAGGAAATGGGAAAGTGAATATGGTTGTCATTCATAGAACTTTTTTATATCAACTTGATATTGGTCTTTTCAGGTTGTCTTCCACATTGCAACCCTGATGCCAACGAAGGAGTCGGATCCAAATTGTAATGGGAAGAAACGTCATATTGGCAACAACTATGTTACTATTGTATATAATGAGAGTGGTTACCCATACAATATTAATACAATTAAGGTAAGGAAGTGTAATCTTTTTATAGCAATTATTTTTAATAAAAAAACAGGTGTGTTGTAGAAGCTGTTAATTAACCAATGTTGTAACTTTTATACAGGACTTGGCTTATTAATAAAAAGATTACTTACTTTTGAAATGATAAGTTAGATAAGAAAATAAACTTACAGTATATGTAGTGTCAGAGCATAATGTACAAAGATTATGGCAAGGTAATAATTTTCACCTCCACTACAAAAGGGAATATAGTCATCAATGAGTGAGAAGAGAGAGTAATTGATTAATTGATTGTGGTAATTACATCCCTGGCGAATCAACAACTTTGGTCATATATTGCCAAATAAAATTTAAGGCTTAAAAGACCAAAATCATTTAATGCAAGGTAATAAATAACAGAACTTTCATAAAAGCTATTCAAATGTTAATAGATAAAACTCAAAGTTTGTGTAGAAGGCCGGCTTCCTCCACAAAGGAGAGGACGTCCCCTCCCACGCTACCCAGTGGTAGGGTCGTGGTAGTTGGGGACAGCCAGGTGAGGTTCTTAGATAGGACTTTTTGTTCAGGACATGGGAAACGTAGGACTAGGGTGTGTTTTCCTGGGGCTGGGATAGGGCATGTAGCTAAGAGAATAGATAGGGTTTTGTCAGGGGAGGGTACCAAGCCAGTAGTGTGTCTTAGTGTAGGAGGTAACGACATAGGAAAGGTTAGGAGTGAGGAACTTTTGAAGAGGTATAGGGAGGTGCTGGGGAAGATTAGAGATAGGGGAAGGATCCTGATAGTATGTGGTGTCTTGCAATGTAAATTATATTCTGGCCAGGTTATTTGTATGAATTTTGAGCTAAAAACAAATTTCTTCAGTAAATAAACAAATTATACTGCACCCAGACACTATTTGTCGATCAAAATACCCCACCTCCCGCTTCCACGCTCGCTGGGTCTCTCCCTCCCGACCCCCCCACCTTCCCTCCCTACCAGAGAAATGTTTGGGGAAAAACAGTATACAGTAAAACCTCGATTAACCGACCCTCGATAAACCGACTTTCGGAATAACCGTCAATACCGAATCCCTTAAAAATAAATAAATAAATAAATAAATAAATGAAATAAAATAAAATATGGGGATTAGCCCACCCAGGCACAGGTCACTGACCCACATCGGGGCCTGAGGGGCAATAATGTAATAATAATAATATTATTAATAATAATAATAATAATAATAATAATAATAATAATAATAATAATAATAATAATAGTAATAAAGAACCATAAAGAAATACAAAAATTAAAAAAAAAATCAAGAGTGAGAAACAATGTACCTGTATGTATGTTGTGTTGTCAATAGTAAGAGAAACAATTGAGACCCTGCAACTGTGTGTAAATGAGGCAGAAAGTCAGATGAGCAACCTGGCACTTGGTCACAATTTTTGTGATGACATGTTCTGTGACTTTTCCATTTATTATTCACTGTTTCTGTGCTGGTTCATATTTATTTACTGAAGTGGTTAATGTTTTAAAGCAAATTCTATTGATATGTGAATGGCAAATGAACAAAAATGAATAGAGGGACTTAAATGAGGTAGGTTAGGGAAAGGTATTTTGAAAATGTATGTTTTATTTCCGTAGATTTTATGACTATTAACCGACCTTTTGGATTACCCGTCGGCCCCTTTCCCCCATATGTGGTCGGTTAATCGAGGTTTTACTGTATTTACATTTTTTTTTATAAATAATACCTCAGACTAAAGTTAGGAAAATATAATTGACAATGCTGGATTCCTTACAGGACAGGGAATATTTTGAATGTAAACGTCATATATTTTGCACAAAAAATAAAATTTTTGCTCTTTTTCATAAAATTCTTAAACTACATCTAAAATTTGTATGTCTAATGCAAATTTTAGGATGTTTATATTTAAAATGATCACCATCTTGTAAGGCTTCCAGCAATGTAAATTATATATTTTATGAGCTAAAAACATATACAGTATTACCTCGCTTTACACGGTTTCACTTTCCGTGTTCTCATTTACGCGGTACCTTGCCAGAACCGGACTTGGACTTTCACTTTCCGCGGTGCATCTACTCATATACGCGGTGAAGTATAATTTTTTTTTTTTTTTTTTTAGCTCATAAAATTCATACAAATTACCCTGCCAGAATATAATTTACATTGCTGGAATTCTTACAATATGATGATCATTTTGAATATAAACATCATGGATTTTGCATTAGACATACAAATTTTAGATCTAATGTAAGAATTTGGTTTACACAAAGCAAATATTTTATCGTTTGTGCAAAATATATGAAGTTTACATTCAAAATATTCCCTGACCTGCAAGGAATCTAGAAATGTCAATTATATTATCCTAACTTTAGTCTGGGTTATTATTTATTACTAAAAATGTAAATATATTATTTTCTCCCAATCGCTTCTCTGGTAGGGAGGGAAGGTGGGAGGTAGGAAGGGAGGGAGGGCGGAGGTGGGGTATTTTGATTGACAGATAGTGTCCTTGAAGAATATTTCTTTGTTTATTTACTGAAGATATTTATTTTAGCTCATAAAATTCATACAAATTACCCGGCCAGAATATAATTTACATTGCTGGAATTCTTACAATATGATGATCATTTTGAATATAAACATCATGGATTTTGCATTAGACATACAAATTTTAGATCTAATGTAATAATTTAGTTTACACAAAGCAAATATTTTATCTTTCGTGCAAAATATATGAAGTTTACATTCAAAATATTCCCTGACCTTCAAGGAATCCAGAAATGTCAATTATATTATCCTAACTTTAGTCTGAGGTATTATTTATTACTAAACATTAAAATCTAGTGTTTTCACCCAACCATTTCTCTCAGAGAGGTAGGAGCTAGTGAGCTGGGAAGAGGGGGATTTGAGTCCATTATTTGAATGGACATTAACCTGGCGACTGTATTTCTCTTAAATATTAATTGTGTGAGCATACCATCATAAAATTTAGATGTTATTTATACGACAACATAGGTATTGTGTCGGAAAAAGTGGAACCAGTCTCTATTGGAATTAATCGCATATGTTCTGTTGTTCACTTTACGCGGTTTTCACTTTCCGCGGTACCCTGTGGGTTCAATTGACCGCGTAAATCGGGGTATTACTGTATACTGACAAACTTGAACTTAGGGAGAATCCACAGAGAGGCACTAGGGAACTACATGGGGCATATCTGAACAGGAGGAAGAAAAAGAATACTCACAGATTTCCTTACCCTGAAGTCATAAGGTTGTGGGAGGCCCAGATTCTGACTGTAGTGTGGGAACATAGTCTCGTTAACTACACAAGTGTTGGTTACAAACTGCGGAAGATGATGCAGGCGAAACCAACACTGGACCTGAAGAACAAAGATCAAAGGGTGATTCATCAACATCAACTAGCAGATTCAAGATTGGCAAAAACCTGAAGGCACCGGTTGCCAGGGATACCCCCAGAACGGTGAATAGAGTTCAGTGTATTGAGTCTAGCCTCAGTGGCTGAGGAGTATACCTCACACCCATAATCCAGTTTGGGTCTAACTAACATGTGGTAAAGGAAAGGTGTAGCAAAGCTCCTCTGTCAGTACCCCACGATGTATGCCGCAAGACTCTCATTATTATGAGAGCATGCTGGCAAGACTCTTTGGCAACCATAGAGCTGTAGAGCAGGATCTGGGTGAACACCTCGAAGGCGGCTGAAATACATGGCAACGGTCTTCAAGGGAGAAAATCTGAAACCATGTTCTATGGTCCAACGTGAAACCTTGTCTAGTGCAAGTTGCATGCAATGTTTAGCCCCTGACATGTAGGAAGCTGCATACCAAATGGCAAAGTTGCCTACATACAATGAGATTGATACACCACCTGGAACCAATGCTGCTACCTCATTTATTGTGATGGCAAATAGGGTCACACTCAAGACACTGCCTTGAGGAGCCCCGTCCTCCTGGATATGTGGTACTGACATTTCTGTAGCTACGAGGACCCTAAAAGTGCGACATCCCAAAACCTGGCCTATTATTGATGGTAAATATCCTCGCAATCCAAAATTATGAAGCTCCTTAAGGATGTCAAATCTACAAACTGAGTTGTATGCTTTCTCTACGTCAAAAAAAAAAAAATGCAGACTAGATGCTGGTGATGAGCAAAAGCCTCACAGACCAAGGACTCAAGACAAACTTGAGCATATATTGTTGAGTGCACCTTCCAGAAGCTAGATTGATATGGTCAAAGAGGGCATTCTTCTCCAAGTAGTATAATAATCACGAGTTGACCATCTTTTCAAACAACTTGCAGATACAGAAGGTCAGAGCTATAGGGCGATATTCTAGTGGGTGAAGACCCTCTTTTCCAGTCTTCTTGAAAGGCAGGACAGTATCCTCCCGCCATAGGCACGCTCTCTCTAAATCAGGGGTTCTCAACCAGGGGGGAATTTCCCCCCTCAGGTTTTCAGGGGGGGAAACTGATACTAATATGGAAAAAATAAAGGATTTTCAGTATTATATGCATATTATTTGGAATGCACTTTTTGAGGCAGACAATCTTGGAAAGGAGGGGGGAATGACATTCTGACATATGGTGAAAGGGGTGCATGGGGCAAACAAGGTTGAGAACCACTGCTCTAAATCCTGTAATATAGCTCCAATAGAAAGGTCTGTGCCTCAACTTCAAGGTGGTGGAGCATTGAAAATGGGATATCATCAGGCCCTGGTGATGTATCTCCAGTGAGTGAGAAGGCAGTTCTTATTTCTTTCATTGAGAACATGTTGTATGTCTCGCCGTGTCCCACTCCAAAATGTAGGGTTTGCAACTCCTCTACTCTACACACCCGTTTAAACCTTGAGAATCGAGCTGCCATAGAAGACACCCCTGCAAACGCTGTGGCAAAAAACTCTGCTACTTCTTGAGGGGCAACAATGGAGTTGCCATCATTAGCTTTGAGAACTGGGGGAGGATTAGATCAAAACTTGCCTGCTATTTTCTGCTATTTTCTGTGAATAACATAACATATGGGATTAAATGAAATAGAGACCAGCTGACCCCCAAACTCCACTTTTTCCGACACAATACCTATGTTCTAGTAAAAATAACATCTTAATTTTATGATGGTACATGCACACAATTAATACTTAAGAGAAATAGAGAAATACAGTCGCCAAGTTAATGTCCATTCAAATAATGGACTACTCCCTCCCCCTCTTCTCACAGTACACTCACTGGCTCTTCCCTCTGAGAAATTTTTGGGGGAAAACCAGGTATAGTAATAAATAATTCCTCAAACTAAACTTAGGATAATATAATTGACATTGCTGGATTCCTTGTAAGACCAGGAATATTTTGAATATAAATGTCATATATTTTTCACAAAAGATAACATATTTACTCGGAGTAAATATTACATCTAAAATTTGTATGTCTAATGCAAAATCTATGATGTTTATATTCAAAATGATCATCAAATTGTAAGAATACCAGCAATGTAAATTATATTCTGGCTGGGTAATTTGTATGAATTTTATGAGCTAAAACAAATATCTTCAGTTAATAAAAAAAAAAATATTCTTCAGACACTATCTGTCAATCAAAGTACCCCACCTTGCCTTCCCCCCTCTTCCAACAGAGCCAGATGGTCAGTCCATCCCAACCCTCCCCCCCACCTCCCACCAACCCTCCCTTCAAGAGAAAAGGTGGGTGAAAAAACTAGATTTTAACATTTAGTATTAAATATTACCTCAGATTAAAGTTAGGATAATATAATTGACATTGCTGGATTCCTTGTAAGACCAGGAATATTTTGAATATAAATGTCATATACTCAGAGTAAACATTATATCTAAAAATTTAATGTCTAATGCAAAATATATGATGTTTATATTCAAAATGATCATCAAATTGTAAGAATTCCAGCAATGTAAATTATATTCTGGCCGGGTAATTTGTATGAATTTTATGAGCTAAAATAAAAATCTTCAGTTAATAAAAAAAAAAAAATATTCTTCACACATGCCAGGTGGTCGGTCGCCGGTCCCTCCCTCCCCCCCACCCCCCCCACCCCCCACCAACCGTCCCTACCAGATAAATGTGTGGGAATACCAGACTGTTTACCTTTTTAGTAATAAATAATAAATCAGACTAAAGTTAGGATAATATAATTGACATTGCTGGATTCCTTGTAAGACCAGGAATATTTTGAATATAAATGTCATATATTTTGCACAAAAGATAGCATATTTACTCAGAGTAAACATTATATCTAAAATTTGTATGTCTAATGCAAAATCTGTGATGTTTATATTCAAAATGATCATCAAATTGTAAGAATTCCAGCAATGTAAATTATATTCTGGCCGGATAGTTTGTATGAATTTTATGAGCTAAATAAAAAAATTATACTTCACCCGTGTAAAGGGGTACACCCACTGCGGAATGTGAGCATCCTGGGTTCTGGCAGGGCAACATGGAAACGCGGAAACGCGGAATGTGGGACCGCGTAAAGTGAGGGTTGACTATAAAAATTATAAAATACCCTATAATAATAATAATAATAATAATAATAATAATAATAATAATAATACTGTAGAACCATAAATATATATGAAAAAAAAATTCAAGAGTGAGAAAAAATATACTATATGTATGTTGTGTTGTCAAAGTAAGAGAAACAATTGAAACCCTGCAATTGTGTGTAAATGAGGCTGAAAGTCAGATCAGCAACCTGGGACTTGGTCACAATTTTTGTGATGTCATAAAAAACCATGAAAGTTGTGGAAATATTATTTCAATGCTCTGATGTGACTTATAAATAAAATATAATATGAAATTTTAAAATTAAATGGCTGGAACGGAAAATTACTCTCCTCCTCCTCTGCTAACTGTCCCTACGTCACCCCTGAGACCCTTTTATAATCACTATGCAGATTCACCATAATTACCATATTATTTAGGTTCATTTGGTGTTGGGTTAATAAGACATAATTGTAAAATAATTCCTTCCCCCTCCCCCCCCCCCAAAAAATATAAATAAAGTAATAATAATAATTCTCACACTCAACCTCAAATGAGTTACAGGTAACCCCTGAGATACTATATCCCGAGATGCGATATTTCACTTCAACGATGGTTATAAATTAATGCCATCTCCCTATATACGATCAAACCAACTCTCTTTAACGATATCCATCGAATAGCCATTGACATACATTGGTTGGAACTCATGCAAACTATGGGTTGTTTATATTGTACTCAAATTAATTGCCATCTTGCAAGGATCCAGCAATGGAAGTTATATTTTTCTCTGCCAAGTCAGTGACAATTTATAAGGAAATAATATTTAACCCTATACAGCTCCTTCCCGACTTACGGCGGGGTTAGGGACCCAAATCCAGGCCATAAGTCAAAAATGCTTAAATAATACATAGAAAATCTAAAATGGGTGTCTCTTTTTCTTCTCAGCACCAGAAAACTTTCACTTTTAAGCTTGCCAGCAATTTTAAAGTGAATTACAAACAAAAAAATTTTCAGTACACAGCGCAATCACTGACGTTGGGACTCAAAAATACGTAATTTGACAAAATTTTGGTACAACTGAGGAGGTCGTATGTCCGGGTGGTCGTAAGTCGGGGAGGAGATGTACACCATAAATCTCTACCTTCACTTGTCAGCCTCCCATGTGCCGCCATATGGCCCACCCACGCAGTATAGCCCTGTGTCTGGTTCTTTGTCAATCGTAAAACCTGGCATCGTACGGCTCAACAATTATCGGCCATCATCGTACATTGTACTTATCATTGTTTTGTTTTTGTTTTCTCGTATAGTGAGAGGACAGCACTAACATTTACATTGAATTGTATTATGGTGACTGTGAAGTGATATTTTCTGTGTTTGTGTGACTGTAAGGCGTGTTTATTCTGTTGTTTGGAGAATGTGAGCAGTGTCAGCCGCTATCATTTTTTTTTTTTATCGTTTGCTCTGTTTTTGTGACTGTAATGTGAGCAGTGTAACTTTGAAAATATCTAGGAAGAGGCCAAGGCATCAAAGACAACTATGTCTCTGAGGTGAAGCTTAACATTGTTGAGCACCATGAGACTCTCCAGAGGCTGTGTGAGAGTCAGAGTAACATATCCACTTCATCTTCAAGACTCCCTTAGCTTCGAAGGGGACATATGATGATGACCAGACTTATCCAATATGATGTGGTGAATGATGTTTACTTGATTGTAGGAAATTTTTTGCCGGTGATACATGTGTGTTTGGGGACTGGCTGGGAACATATCCCATTGAACCCCTTGTTATAATGCTCCCTATTTACGATAATTCACCTAGCAATGGGTTTTTCAGGAGCTTAACCCCATCATATCTTGGGGTTACCTGTATTTTGTTAAATTCCTGGTGGTTTCTTAACAAGTTTGCATAATAGGTGAACAGCAGAGCAGCCAGCCTGCCTGTCTCCATGTGGGTGCAATGGTGTCACCCAGAGGATGATTATGAGAATAAAGGGAGCTGTTTTTGTAATATCGAACAATATTATATTTTTTATGTTTTATTTATGATATTTAGTGTTTATTAAAACAATTTTTGAACAGCTTATGCACAGTTTTGGGTTTCAGGAACCTAAATAATTATTTTCATTTAAATCGGTTAAACTATTGTACAGTGGTCCCTCGGTTAACGAACGGTTCGATTAACGAAATTTCAGTTAACGAATTACCTCCCATAAGGATCTTCAATTCGGTTAACGAATAAAACTATTAACAAAATCCTTACGACAAACACTTTTTGTTGTGAGCATCAGCTGATCAGCTGATGGGCTAGTCTGCCAATTCAGTACAGGTAATCTGTTCTATGTTTACATTGGTTTCCAGTGGAGTATACATCAAGAAAGTTATGCTCTTAAATATTTTTGCATTTCTTATCCTGTATTAAAATTATTAGTCATTTTAAAATTTAGTTAACATATTGATAATATTTGCAGTACAGGGAGCTAGTTTTTTTTGCGCCTATCAGCCGCTTTACCCACCCACCAGGCGTCAGTCTGGCTTTGTTTACAGTGGAATGAACATCGATTTTGTTGGTGTCTTGAATATTTTTGCATTTTTTACATTAAAATTATCGGTCATTCTGAAATCTTGATTTACACCTAGTGAACTTAAAATTTTATTGGTGAAATTACTGCATCAAGCATGGGTCCCCTGAAAGGTGATTTTTCCTCCATCCCCACTTCCTTCTCTTCTCCCTTCTCCACCCCCACTTCTATTTCCCATCATCATCATCAACCAGGAACCTTCTACATACACACCTTAAAGTAAGTGTACTTTACTGCATTTTTTTTTTTTTTACTTTGTATGTACTTTTCTGTGAGCTGGAACCAATTACCCAATATCCCATTGGAACAATGGATTCGGTAAACGAAATTTTCTGTTAACAATCGACTTTGTGGAATGAATTGTGTTCGTTAACCGAGGGACCACTGTATACTTTACTGTTTCATAATTCACAGTCGTCTTGTACCTAACCTGCGAATTATCGCAACTTCTTTGTACAAGAACTGTTTTGATCTGGATTTGGTTATAAAATTGGATATCAGAATAAGTCCTCCATTTATTTTATATATTTTTTATTTTTAATGGTAGAATACTGTACCTTGATTTAGAGGATTATTCCTCCAATTCAGGTTTTATTTACCCAGGCCTCCCCTAGGCTGAAATAGGCTAGAATGGCTGGTTTTAGTGTATAGTTTATAACTTCATATAAAATATAAGAAAAATGAGAACTAAGATAAATTTGAGAATGATGGTGCCTAATTGTTCCATTTGCATTAACAATATTTAAAAAGTATTGCAGGCATATCATTTATTATTTGTAACTTTGCATCAACAGGGTCAGTTCAACCACACAGTTGTAGAAGTGGTTCCAGAAGACCACTCCACCAACAGTGTTGGTCTTTTGTGCCGTCCAGAACTGATGGAATTTGTTGGTGGTGGAAGTGATCCTAGGCTAGTTTCAGACACCAACCTTCCCATCTTAGTGCGTCAACTTGCTCTTCATGCTGACGTGAGTAAATAAGTTCCGTACTCGAATTATTTGTTTGAGATAGAGGCAAGAAAATTTTAAAGATGATTAGCATAAAAGAATCAATTGTTAATTAATTGAGGAAAAAGACTTAATAAAATGGTAAAATGTAGCTTTTGAATGTAATATTACTTGCTGATGAATTTAATACACAGATCTTTAGTTCTCTTCATGGATCAATCCTCCAGTGAATATGATAAATTTTATATTTGATAACTACTGTATTGCATTAAATATACAGTAGATGTAAATTTTACTTTCTAGTCTTAAATGTGTAACATGAGATCTTTTGTTGTTGAATATGTAGAAAATATATATTTTCTTAATAACACCATAGAGTACTGTATTTTTATTTTTTTAAGCTGGCATCTACAATCTGGGAGTCACTGAATCGTCCACCAGGCAACCCATATGCTAGCAATTGGCTGGAGAGGATGAGGAAGATCAGAAAGATTCGACAGATGGTGCTTTCTGAAAATGAAGGACAAACAACCTCCATGGATTTCACTGATTTGACAGATCAAGATAAAGGGGACAAAGGAAGGGGTGGAGGGTCTGGTTACTGGCATCAGTTCCTATCTTGAGGTCAAAGAAAAACCTAAGGCTGGCATAGTAGTAAGTTTTTTTTCCTTCAGATATTAGCCACCTTTTAAAAGCCCTCAATATTTTTTTGCAAAGCTTGGTGATAATGCATTCATTGTGTAAGACTGTGGTCCTAAATTAGGATCCTTAATGGCCAGTGCACAAAGTTGTTTAGATAAGTTATAATTTTTATCTACCTACAAAGATTAAACATTTTTTAATTTTTTTATGATTTTTTTTAAGGAGTGTAGATTTGGCAGAATAAATTTTTGTTCTTAGTCCATAAATATAGTATTTTGGTGAATATTGCTCAATAGTACATTTAATGTACTCTTAAAGACATTATATAAACCATGCTTCTTACATGTCACTTTTTATATTTTTGCTTGCTAAGTTTTTTTACACTATTACTAAGATATACAATATACATCCACTAGTTAAAGATATGTATTATGGAATGAAGTTACCACTAAATATATAAAGTGTGCATATTATTATATATACAGTACAGGATATATGTAAAGCATCATTTTAATTTATGTTAAACGTTTTGCACCGTAAAAACGTTGTGTAAAAAAATGTTTTTTTTACTACCCTTTCATTTACTGTTAAATGCACCCACCATAACTATGGTGTCCTTCTTTCTCTTGCACTGGTGGTGATACAAGCAGTGTTGGCAAACTGCTACTACAATCCTTACTTCCTAAACATCACACTGCATTCACTTTCTTTCTCATTTAATTTATTTTTCTTCACACACGATACATCTGTATAAAGCAACTGTATCTACCTATGTTGTATTTAGAGGGCTTAAAGTTTTTTGCTCTATGATTTCTTTAGCCTTTGGTCCCTAATTTAAGGTATGGTAATAAAGGTAGGGTACTAACAAATGTTATTCACAAAATTTTACATTTGTCAGCATCCCAGGAACCTATCCTTTGCAAATGTAAAGCACCCATTCCCAGTCTCACTACAAACTAAGGCGACAATAAAATTTGTGTTCCTACTGCAGACCTAACAAGTTAATCAAATACAGGTATCCCTCGTTTAGCATAAATTCACTTAACGTTAATTCATTTAGCAATAAAAAAAATTGACACACTTTCTCACTTAACATTGGGTTAAAAAATATTTTGACGATAGTTTTACTTGCTGGGAAGGGAAAAACTGGGGATGAAGTGTCCTGTGAGATGGCATGTTGCCATTGTTACATGTGATGAAACTAAAAGTTGTGGAGAAACCATTACAATACAGTACTCTAATGTGTTTTAGAAATACAAAAAATGTATAATATAAAACTACCTGTATAAAGTAAGAAAAGCGAAGAGCAGGGGTGGATTGGACGTATGTGTGGAGGCAGTGGGCTGTAACAGCATCGCCAACTCGCCACCCAGCCACTCTCCCTTTCCACTAATGTGACATCATGGCACACACACGTCACTGACTCATCTCGGTGACTGCCTGGCTGAACTGTTTCACGTCGCCCAGAGGATGGTTTGTATGTGGAAGGAGCTATTTTTTAGACATAAAATGAGTGCAATTGGATTTTATGACATGCTTTACAGTGATCCCTCGGTTAACGAGCCCCTCAGTTAACGAATTACCTTCCATAAGATTCTTCACTTCGGTTAACGAATTCCTTACGAATTTTTCCCAACATGTTTTCGCCTGCATTTGGCTACCCACCAACTGTAGTATTAGTCCACCAATACAGTAATCAGTTTTAGGGCTTAAATTCCTTACCATTTTAGTAAATATCAAGAAGGTTGTACTATTCAATAATTTTAAAAGTTTTATATAAAATTTTTTAGTCATTTTAACAATTACAGTGGTCCCTCGATTAACGAGCACAATCCGTTCCAGCAGGTTGTTCTTTAACCGAAAAACTCGTTAACCGAAACCATTGTTTCAATGGGTTTTTGGGTAATTGGTTCCAGCTCACCGAAAATTGCCTAAATTCAACAAAAAAGGTAGAAAAGTACACTTACTTTGAGGTGTGTATGTAGAAGGCTCCTGGATGATGATGATGATGATGATGGGAATTAGAATGGGGGTGCAGGAGAAGGAAGAAGAGAAGGCATTGGGGTGGAAGAGAAGTCACCCCATGGCGCCATTTCACCCATAAAATTTTAGCTCTCTTGGTGTAATTCAAGATTATTTTCTTTAAATCAACACTGCACTGCATTATATATTGTCAATATGTAAACTATATTTCAAAATGACCAATAATTTGCTTGGAAACACAGAAAAAAAGCGTTTAGTTGAAGAGAGTCTCAAACAAGTTTTATCTCCACTGAAAACAGAGAGAGACTAACGCCTGTCTGGTGTGTTAACAGGCTGGATGGCACGCCAGAAACTAGTTTCTTTACCTTCAATTATGTTCAGTAATTGTTAAAATGACTAAAAAAGTTAATATTAAACTTTTAAAATTATTGAATACAGTTTTACCCCGCTTAACGCGCTTTCACTTTACGCGTTTTCGCATATACGCGGTGCCTTGCCAAAGCTGAACTCTCACTTAACGCGGGTTTTTCCACAGCTACGCGGTGAGTGTCCGGCTCGGATGCTATTTTTAGATTTTGACCACGCGCCACGCGCCACCCACCCGCCCGCCTGCCTGCCTGCCTCTCCCTCCTCCTCCCTCCGCTTGGGTAAGCGGCGCGGTAAGGTTGCGCAGTGTGTGTCTTTGTTGCGTTATCACTGACGTCATATGACGTCTCGGACTGTGATTGGCCATGCAGCCCTACCCCCCTCTACTGCTAGCTGTAATTGGCTTAAAGTATTATGACGTGACTACCCCGGGGAGGGAGGGAGGGAGGAGAGACGACGCTTGACCTAGCCGCGGCAGTTTCATCCCTCAAGGCCACGCCGGGTTAACGCGCATCCATTGTTCCGTAAAATGGCTTCCGCCGGACCACCACCCCCAGAGAGAAACCTTTCCTTACCTGGACCCAGCGGCACTAAACCAAAGAAGACACGACGTTCATTAAGCTACGAGCTGAAGTACCAAATTGTTCAAGATTTGGAGAAAGGAAGACGCCAAGTTGATCTCGCGCGCCAGCATGGCGTCAACGAATCTACGATTCGTACAATAAAGAAGGATGCAGCCAAGATAAAGGAGCACATGAAGATCACAAAGTCTGCAGGTGCTTCATCTATCAGGTATTGCCAGAACAGGGTGCTGGCAAAAGTGGAAACTTTGCTGGTGAGTTATTTGGTGCGTCAGGCGCGACGCAACATGGCGGTGGACACGCGCTCAGTGCAGGAGTACGCACGTGAGCTATACGCAGCAGTGACACGTAAACTGGGAATTGCAGAGCCCAAACCCTTCAATGCATAGGTTTAAGAGGAGGAACAAGGTCACCAACATCAGCATTGTTGGTGAGGAAGCGAGTGCTGACCGTGCGGCGGCTAGAGATTTTCCTCCGTTTTTACGTGAGATTATGGAGGAAGGACAGTACAGTGACGACCAGGTGTTTAACATGGACGAATCTGGTCTTTTCTGGAAAAAGTTACCTTCCAAGACCTTCGTTGTCCAGTCTGCGAGCAAGGTAAGGGGCCGGAAGATGCAGAAGGAACGCATCACCGTCCTGTTTACCACCAATGCCTCCGGTACCTGTAAACCAAAGTTATCGGTGATTCACAAAGCCCGCAAGCCGCACGCCTACAAGAATATGGACATGAACAAGCTTAATGTCCACTGGCTAACCGCACGTAAGGCGTGGATGTCCTCTTCTCTGTCCCTCTTCTGGTTTGACAACTTTTTTGTTCCTGACGTGCAGAAATTCTGCGAGCAACAGAATGTTCCTTTCAATATTTTGTTGCTCCTTGACAACGCACCTGGACACTCGCCCCTACTTATGGATCGTCACCCCAACGTAAAAGTGGTCTTCCTTCCTCCCAACACTACGTCATTAATCCAGCCCATGGACCAGGAGTTAATCTGCAATGTTAAAGCTGCATACTCGGCAAAGAAATTCAAGCTCCTGAACGACTCTACCAACACCAAGGATGAGTTGCGTAAGCTGGGTGACACCGACAGCGAGAGTAAAAGCGACGAGGACAAGGAACAAGAGGCGGCGACTCAAGAACTTCTCGTCACACAATTTTGGAAGAAGTTTAACGTCAAACAAGCTGTAGACTTCTTGGTGGAGGCATGGGATCTGCTGTCTATTGCTACGATTCGTCACGCATGGAGACATGTGTTGCATGGCATACCAGGTGAGAGGAGGAGTGAACCTGTGACTGGTGAGGTTCAGACTGTTGCAGTAGCAGTGGACCTTGCCAGAGAAGCTGCGCAGACTGTTACAGCTGAAGGCTTCTCCGAGACCACCAACGAAGACATCATGGAGGTGATCAGAGATCCTGAAGTGACTGCCGACGAGATGTTGGAAGAAGAACCCGCCAGTGAAGAGGAGGAAGAAGGTGCGTCATTCTCCGAAGAACCTAGTTTAAGTCATAGTGATATTAAGTGTGTCATAGAGTTAACAGAAAAAATTAAGTCCATCGTTTCCCGCGACACTGACGATGAACGCCATGACGTCTTCCATACCCGACTGGTGCAGGCTATGGAGCCGTACATCACGGTGTATCATGAAAACATCAAAGCCAGCCGTCAGCAAAGCATAACCGAGTTCTTCGCCCGCAACCCACCACAGCCAGCCCAAGCCAGTGATAGTGAAGTTGATTTTGAGGGATTTGTCAGGGAAGCCATAACAACTGTAAGTGACAGTGATATTGATTCACCTAGTAATGGTGATTCACCTAGTAATGGTGATTCACCTGAGGGGCAGTAATCTGCCCTCTGCCTCGGAACCAGCCTCCATCCCCGTATGCCGACCCATCTCTTCTACTACCGTGAGTGTTCCTTAAAAATTTTCGTTTTTTAACCTATTCTTTATTTTTCCTATGTTAACCTTTATCTTTCCTAACCTAACCTCTTCTATATTACTTGTTTTTCATGCCACCATAAAGTTAAGATAGAATTTTTACTACAACATAGTTATTTGTCGTCAAAAAGTGGAGTTTGGGGGTCGGGCTGGGTTCTATTGGAATTAATCCCATATGTTCTGTTATTCACTTAACGCGGGACCCTCTGGGTTCAATTGACCGCGTTAAGTGGGGTACAACTGTAGTATAAACTTGATATTTACGAAAATACAGTTAACCCTCACTTTACGAGGTTAATGTAACCCGGAGGGTACCGCGGAAAGCGAGAAACGCGTAAAGTGAATAACATAACATATGGGATTAATTGAAATGGAGTCCAGGCCGATCCCCAAACTCCACTTTTTGACGACACATAACTATGTTGTAGTAAAAATAACATCTTAATTTTATGATGGTACATGCACACAATTAATACTTAAGAGAAATAGAGAAATACAGTCGCCAAGTTAATGTCCATTCAAATAATGGACACGACTCCCTCCCCCTCTTCTCACACTACACTGCTGGCTCTTCCCTCTGAGAAATTTTGGGGGGAAAACCAGGTATAGTAATAAATAATACCTCAAACTAAAGTTAGGATAATATAATTGACATTGCTGGATTCCTTGTAAGACCAGGAATATTTTGAATATAAATGTCATATATT